ACATGACACTACGTCGTACATGCACGATAGCGTACTCCCGACTCACAACAATTACTGTCGTGCTCATACGCCTACGCACTCACAGCCTACACCACCCGTAAACAGCTTTATACACAAGCATGGCCCGTAGCGGGGTCCTGTGATTTGTAGGCTCTATGCGCTGTTTACAGAAAGTGAACTCTCTGAGGACTCATACCTCTTGGACAGTAAACACGACTGAGGATTTCTATTTAGCCACCTCTACATGTGTGTACGGCCACCCGCCTTGTGAGATGGTGGCTCTGTTAGTGAGTCTCGATGCCGGAGCTGGTGTTACATGTGTGGTGGTGTGGTGTGAGTGCTGTTATGACATGAGTGTGTGTGTCTGTCTCAGTTGTGGCAAGAGACCTCGCCACTCCAAGACATGGATATCTTTTGATCTGAGATACACACTATCCGCGTCTTGTTTCAGTCTAGCGAAGTAACCTTCATTATGGGTGACGTGCAAACGTCGTGCCTCTCTGATTAGCCAATGAGCCGTGTGATACTGTAACAACTCGGGGTTCGTCTATAGCATTTTCTATCCGAGTTTCATCCAGGTGATGTTAGGTGAGGGTATTATCGACAAGAAGTGCTGTTTCTTCCTGCTGGTTCGATCAAGCGCCTAGTCACCCGGCTTAGGACACTCTACCTACAAATGTCTGAGGTCGTATAATGGGTGTGTCCTTTATAGACACTAAATGTAGAGGTCCCACAGGAATGTTCACGCCTGACGAAGAAAAGCCAGACAAAGGAGTCAGGTCCTCCAAACATGCTACATGCCGTTCGACGCATTGGGGCAATTCTTGTTGTCCCATAAGCGGACCGTTGGATGGACATGCTGACCAACGAAGAGCGTGTCATTGTCCCCCAATAATGTTGCCTGTTTACAGGGGCATTATTGACGGCTGGACTCAAAGTAGGTATATGTGGTCTTCCTCGTACAAAAGGGTCGGGTCTGGACATGAAGGGCTCCCTCAAAGTCGTGCCTGTCGACGGGAGTCTGACTTGGGGTGCGCAGTACGCGCGCGCCTCTGATTCACCAGTGATTACTTACCGCATTTTACCGTGACCTGCAGCCGACATTGGCTGAAATTGATCATGCCCGTACGGAATACCCACGACAGAACTAGCGTTTCTCGCTAGAGTGCCTTTGCGTACAGACTGCCCGACCTCTCCATAAATTGTTTCAGGCTGACCCTCCCCAAGACCTTTCGGTCCTTGGGAGGGTTGCCGTCGTGCATTTAATGGATCGCAAAATCGCACAATGGGTGGGATTTTGCCGGCTACAGAAGGAGGAGTCGTCCTTTCGGTACGGGAGCACTCCTACTATTACTGCTGTTATAGTATACATTTGGTAATTCCTCCACACGCAAGAGCGGTCAATGTACGACGGCGTTTTGACTAGAAACACAGCTCTCCCTTCGATGCGTCACACCCCGCATTCAGTGTTGTTACTAGGCCTGTCACGATAATTAATTGTGTTGGACGATAAATCTTTCTGGAAATTATTGCGATAAACGATAATATTGTCGGCACCGTTTTAAGACCATTTTAGACACAATGATAATATATAATAATAATTCAAGTACATCCTTTCAAACATAACTTTTTATTGAACATTCAACATTGCAAATGAAATGTGAAATAATATTAAAATATATAAATTATATATAATAAATAAAACAAATTAATTAAATTATAATAAATTAATTAAATCACACACAACCAAAACAATAAATTAAATAGAGTCAGGCTGGAAAGCAGAGCTCTCTCATATATATATAAAAATAAATAAATAAATATGAGCACACATTATCTCACAAGCCAAAAAAAACCTCCTTAAAACAACAGTCAAGTGTACAGTCCACTGTCAAAGACCCAGATGCCTCAACAGGCCATATCCAAATCTGTTTTTCTAAGTTTTCGAGCAAGGAACACCAACATGTTTGCATTGTCGGGCGGGGGCTCTCCATCTCCAGCTGCCCTGTTTGCTCCCAGCTGGAAAAACGGAATGGGGTGGTTGTGTTTTAGGTGGTTTAAAATGCGTAGGTATTGCCTGCTTTTGTCGCTACCTTTTTTAAACCAATGCGACACACCGCCCGGCTCATTCAAGTCCGTAGGTTCGCCTCGTTGATTTGGTTTGAATCCAAAATACTGCCACACCGGAGAATCGAGATGTGTCGTTAGGTTTTGTAACCAATTCCATTTCACTTTAAATTCCCCGCGAGTAAGTCACACGTTGTCTCCCGCTTGTCGCTATATTATTAATTTGGCTGCTACGCTGCTGCACATGCACGCGGAGTGTCCTGACCTGGCTGTGTGTCAGCCCCGCCCCTCACAGCGCGCCTGGCAGCCACAGCGCTCCAGGCTAAAATGCTGGTCACATCTTTATGTAAACGGCAATTTATCGAGCTCAAAAAAGTTATCGAGTCCATTTTTATTTATCGTACCATAAGTCAATTTATCGATTATCGCGACAGGCCTAGCTGTATGCCATAATCAGCAATATTAAAATAATAAAAAGCTTGCAATATTTCAGTTGATTTGTAATGAATCCAGAATGTATGACATTTTTGTTTTTTTAATTGCATTACAGAAAATAAAGAACTTTATCACAATATTCTAATTTTCTGAGACAGTCCTGTATGTGAGTTGCAAACAGATGAATGTTATGTATGTTCTTTCAAAACTTCAGGTGTTTAACATTCTTATGGCCTGTGGGATGAATTGTTTTATTATTGTCAATGAAAGCCTTTTGTTTGATTATACAATGACAAAGCAAACTATTCATATATTGCCTAGGTTCAAATTCTAATCTGGTTTTATGACTCTAGCTCAGATCTTCACATGATTCCCAAATCTGACTGCGTACTAGCTTCTTTTGTAAAAGACAGCAAGAGGACTTCTCTCCAATCCATTCTTCTGTTGTTTCTCAGGCAATTTACCAGGGCTTTATTTTGCCTTTTGCGTGGTGATTGATGGGTTTGAGTACAAGACTGGTGTTGGAATAACAAAGAAGGAGGCTCGACTGAAAGCGGCACAGCTCGCTCTGTCGGACCTGCTGCCCACCTTGTCTGACTTCCCTGAAGGAGCAGGTAAATGTCTAATACTGATCTAACAAAGTATTTCTGTAGCATACAGTTCCTGGAACGCCAAAGTGTAGTAACAGATCTCATCTTCATTAATTCTCATGCCTGTTTGTTTTTCTTAGATGCCCCTCCAACACTGCCAGTAAAAGAGGAGCCCTCCATCTCTGACCTTCATCCTTGTAAAGCCGATCATGGTACTGTAATTCTGGATTCTATTCGACGGGATGGCAAATATTAGGACAGTGGCATATTTTGTTCAGGTCTTGATCTCTCTTAAATGAAATATTGAAGTTTAATTTGAGGGGTTGTGTCCAAAGGGCGGTACTACAATTTCCATATCAGTCCGTGACGTAACTGGGCCCAGAAAGACTTTTGCCCATTGACTAACATTGGGAAAGAGACGTCTGTAAATCAGCCGATACTTTTTTGTTAAACTACTATGAACTATTTTATAGCCCTTATTAGAATCATTCGGTCCTTAAAGTTGTAAAATGCACTAAAAGCCGAATCTAGATTTATTTTCTGTCTCCATGCATTCTACTGAGCCGAGAGTGGGGGGCGGGGCTTAAGGTGCCATGCTCTGTGAGCGCACATACTGGTTCTTCTGCTCTGACAGCTAGGCATGATGGGTAATCTGACGTTGGGCCATTTTGTCTTCATGCGCCAATGAGCAACTGTCATAGGAAAGAACGAGACCCCGCCTCCCACGCTGTATCCAGTTCTTATTATGCATCCATGGTTCTAACCTGTTGATATGGAGGTCAGGTGACTTGCGTCTGTTGAAGAACACCTCTACTGTTTGGCCTGAAAAACGTGTTGGTTAGTCTGGCTGTATTTTTTAGAATGGCTGTGTTCGATAAAGTTAAAAGTTAGCACTCAAAATCCCTCTTTTATTTCATTTAAAAAACCTTTGCTCTGTAGTATTGCCAAAAAAACAAATATGAATCTTGACATATTTAAATACATGCTTTTTGAAGCAAAAAGGGGAAATTCATTGAATGCTGCTCCAGTAGATATGCACATTTCTATCTAACTTTTGTATACGTGGTGTCTTATATGTCTTGCTGTTCAGAAAGAACAAGTCCTTTAAACCACCGGATTCCCAACGCTGTCAAGGATCACCTCACTAAACTGATGAACAACCACCCAGAGTTCACTGCCTGCGCTGGCACCACAGCAGCGTTCATCATACAGACTCGTAAGGGACCTCTCACAAACGCACAGTTAAATCAAACCTTTATTTGAAATGTGTGAATGAACCGTAATATTGGAAGCAATAAGAGCTGTTTTATATTTCATTGCTGTGAACAGTGTAAAGACGACCTAAAAAACGTTCTGACACTGTTCCTACAGAGAATTGATATTTTTATAGTCTTCACAAAAGCAGTATTTATTGCACTTATTTGCTCATGGTACTTTGTCAACGGTCTTATGTGTACTAAATCTAATACTACAGACCTGCTCATTAGGACTACAGATATTTGTATAGCTCCATTAGCTCTGTTCAGAATATAAATCTCACATGTATGCATTAACCTTTTTTACAAAATCCCTCTCCCTTTAGCCGGCGGATATGATGTGGTCGCTCTCGGCACTGGAAACTTTAATACCAAAGAGAGTACCTCGTTGAGTGGACGTGTTGTGCATGATTCACATGCAGTGGTTACTGCAAGGAGATCTCTTATGAGGTAAGATACAGCCATGAGCCTGGGTGTGCATTATGTGGTTTGGGTCGTGTCATTCGCAAGAAAGGATTTCCTATGATGCAAGTATTTNATTCTCCGTGGGGACTTCCGGCAAAAATCTTGATTCTGATCTGAAGTTTTCAAAACCGTTTACGGTCTCCGGTACTTCCAGTCCAACGCCTACTGCATGCACAGCGTTATAAAATCCGGCCTTCAAAGTAAGTTACACTTTTTCCCCCTAATTTTTTTTTCTTCACTCACACATCTCGAAACGGGTCCGCGACCCAACAGTTGAGAACCACTGTTCTAAATCCTATTTAAGACCTTCCTTATTTTTTTGATCATATTTAAGACTTTTTAAGCCCTTAAATTCTGATTATCAAATGTAAGACTCCGCAGGAACCGTGTAAATGTTGTGCTTGTGGTTCCGAATTGAGGTGAACTATACAACAGAGAGCAGAAGATACAGGGGAATAAAATACTGTTTTAAGAAGTATTTTGATGCAAAGGTTTATTAATTAGCATGTAGCACAATATGAAAGTGAAAGCAGAGCACTTTTTATTTTTTTTAAAAATAGGAAAATGTTGAATTATGATGACTATTTGTGATCTCAATATTGACCAAAATAACCATGATCATTATTTGGGTTATAAACTTGCAGCGGGCGCCCAGAGGCAGTTTGAGATCTTAATCCAGCCACAATTTACGAGAACGCAGCACATTACTACTGTCACACATCCTCAGTATAGGTGCACGGCTTTCTAAGAGCTCTGGTCTGAAATGTTTTCACGGTGTAACCACATCAAGAGAGTTGCATATCCTGTTTATCTCTAAAACTACTAGCATCACCTCAGCGGCAGAAAAAAAGGCTGTGCTCACATAAATGTTCACACTATGTATCTGCTTCTCTGTGGAAGAATATTACAACAACTTAAATAAGTGTCAGTCATATTGTCTATATCCCAGTGGCATTCGACAACACCAGGCCCTTCCTGACCTATAACTGACCACATACAAAGATTAATAGGAATTGCATTGATCTGCACAAGTGCACACATTAAGCATTATAGTTTGTGATTTAATTAAATATAGAAGATTCAGGCAAGATCAAACTACTAGAATATTGTTTTTAGGATACTTCCCCCGTCTGATTTACAGAGTAGCCAATGTTTTTCTTGATCAAAATGTTACCTTCTAACTTAAAAACAACAACTATGCAATGCTTCAGCAGGACGTCAACTCTGTGGATCTGCACATACAGAGCAGAACCTGATCACTATCCACATGAAACGAATCCTATTATAATTGTAATAAATGGCCAAAGTAACATAAAACCTAACAGTGTGTGTTAAGATGCCATAAGGGTTGGTTGCAATGCATTAAAGATCAGACTCTGCATATCATGTCATGTGTAAGCAACAACATATATAAAAGAGACAAATAAAAATGTACATGCACCTGACAGGCTTGATCCTTTGGGAAAAAGTTCCCAGTAATTCCTTCTGTTGCCCAAACCAGTGGGAAGTAAACCCATCTCTCCATTCACAAAGACTGATCAACACTTAAAGAGTAGAAGATCCACTGCAATGCACACACAGGAAACCAAAGCATTTCCTGTATGTGTATAATAACCGAGTGAAACAGTTTGCATCAACATCGGGGTCAACAGGTTTGAATTCAGGGACAAGCCACACATTAGACGGCCCCTTGAAAAGATAGGAAATCATCACTTCCTAATAAAATGCAGTATTAAAAAGAAATGCAAATAATTCTCTAAATATTCCCGTTTTCTAGGTGAATTGCAACAAAGCAGCAGTGGTGGGTTAGCAATGGGCCCGAAGGTGCAGGGGGCCAATAAGACATAGCCTCTGATGTGCTGTTTACACGAGAACGCAAACGGGTTGTATCCGCTACTTTTCTCTCTTTTGGTATTCGTTAGCCCGTGTTCGTTCACATGAGGTCGTAACGGACACGGGGAAACGGACCCTGCAAACCATAACGAGTCCCAAGGTGGATAGATCTGCGGACGGAACGCTCTGGGGGGCAAACGGCTCTGTGTGTACGTCCTATACGATCATTTCCTGATAACGATAAAGCCATAGCCCCACCTCTGCTGCTCACTGCTGTAGCATGGTCAGTAGCTCCTGTCAGTAGCTACTGACCATGCTACAGATGTTAGTGCCAAATCTACAGCTCCTCTACCACAACCATCAGTAACAAGTGGACATGGAGAACTACATGTTGCTAAATCCACCGCGGGGCATATACAGAAGGTCAACCATGGCAACCATGCTCGGGGGTCTTCTTCGCTGCTTTTGGTGTATTTTGTGGCGCCACTTACAGGCCCGGAAAAAGTACTACAGCGTCTCCAGCGCGGTCTCGTGTGAAGGGAAGACTTTGATATCGTATTCGGTTAGTTTGCGTGTAAATGGGGTCTGAGTGAAGTTGATGTTATTTACTTTGCTTTCTTCTTTTAGCATAGTCAAAGGGCTTCGTTATTCATGTCAATAACAGAGCCCCAAAAACGCACCGTTAATTGAATGTTTGGAGATATAGAGAAACAAGTGTTTTTTGGTAATGTAAGTGTTCCTGCTAAATTAACACGTGCCAGACACAAACATTTGAACTATGGTTTGGTTTTATTTATTTGTTTGTTCCATCATTGAGCATTAGCCATGGCTCACTTAGGCACACATACTGTTCAGCAGCAAGGGATAAATCAAAAAGAGGTTGTTCTCACAAAACAGTCATTCAAGACAAACTTTAAATGTTTATGCAACAACCATAACTTACTCATTATACTTAGGGACAATTAAAGTAAAATCTTGATTCAGAAAGTAATATTGAACATGCACATTTCCAACACATTGGCAAAATGTAATTTTTGTAAATCACTTATCACCATGCACACAAGGAAGCAAAACTATTTCCCAGATAAAAGCGTTAGGGCTGTAACAATTGGTTTGCCTCTACAAATGGCTACGTTACAAACTTTTTAAGCATTCGTATTCCTTATGTGAAAATCACAACTAAACCTGATGGTAAAACACCAAAGACAAATTCAACTAACCCAAAATAGCTCTTCAACATTAACAGTGATTGACTTTAATCCCTTTGGAAATCACATTAGCATTACGCTAAAGTCCCACAGCAACCAGTGCTTTTTTTTAATTTTTTTTTATGTGAACATTAATTCTTCAACACAGGTTTTGTTCTCTCGAGATAATGTGTTCATCTTCACATTCTGAAGTTATCACTCGCAGACACCTTGACCGGCCAGGCCCCGTAGCCTTGCTGCAGCAGGTACGCCTTCAGCACGTTCTTTGCCTCCTGATACGCCTTGGCCATCCTCTGCGGTGACATAACAACAACACAAGTATAAAAACAACAAATACTTCTCTCAAAACATATTCACAAAATCCATTCCAAATATCAATTTAGAGTTAAAGGTAGAATGGAGAAGCTCGAGTGCGCTAGAATTTGAAAATACGCAGCCGAAAAAAATCTGCCTCTTCCTTCAGACTTCCTCACAGAGCCCCTCCTCCAACACACACGAACGCGCACATGACCAATGAGGGCACGAGATAAGTTTGTGCACAGATGGAAGGCTGACAGGCAGGTAGGCCATCCAGTTATTTTAGCCGGGCCGGCTCAGATGATTGGTCGTGCTTTTTACAGTGCCACGGCTTCCACAGATGATATGTTTTTATGTATTTATTGTCAAAACATTTAATATATTCATTGCTATCGGGATGTTAAGAGCATTCCATGGAATATAACAAAAAGTGTTTCTGAAGTGAATTACCTACCACACCTTTAAGCCATGCAAGTGTGTGGATTAATCTGAACATAAGCAGTCTGCTTTCCATACAAAATATAGTTAAACAGAGGATAACTGTAGGAACATTATGCTTTTTGGAGTTTTCCCTTTCCTATAGTCGGGTATGTAGGGTTGTGTGCATGTAAATAGTCTGCAAAGGATAACCCGAAAGTTCCCACCAGCGGGAATTATCTCCCACACACTTCCCACCTGCCTGAAACTCCTCCATTGGACTCCTTTGATTACTTCTTCCGTAACATAATGTGGTTATGTTACTCTAAGTGGTTGACCAATCACAACAGAGCCGGCCAGCTAACCAATCAGAGCAGACTGGGCTCTGGTTTCAGACAGAGGGTGAAAAGAGGTGCTGCAGCACAGGCAGTATGAGAACAATAAAGAGCTTTTTGAACATTAAAGCATGGAGACATGTCCCAGTAGAGACAAAATACACATATGAACCTGGAAATGAGCAGAATAGGTTTTCTTTAATGCTATAATACAAGTGTGACTTTGAAAAAAATAATTGTCGACTAAAAAAAGAAAGAAAAACTCCAACTCTGCGCTGCGTGTGCTTCGCGTCGGTAGGAAAACCCGTCACACTTCAGTCAGAGCTGTGTCCGGTCATTAAGTGAATTCTGTCGGGCAGGAAATCCAAAGAGTTGGATCCTTCTGACACACACATACACACTCCTTACCGGAGCTTCTGCTGTTGATACCGCTAGTTTTACTTTCGTGTAAAATGTAATTTATATTTTAAAGGTTAATTATTAGTTTTATTTTTTATGTGAAGCACAATGTACCATGCTGTTATAATAACGTTAGTTCTCAGCCTTTGAATCTGAAACCATTTGAGTGTTACCTTGGCCTTGCTGTAGGAGCTCACTGCCAGCAGCTCCGGCCTCTGGGCCACTTTGGCCACCATCTTGAAGCGGTGCGTCATCGCCGCTTTGCAAAGGCGGCTAGCAAGAGCACTGCCACTCTTGAAGGGAGACCTACGACAAGATAATCCATGTAAAGTAAAACATTCGATGTAATCCCAGACAAAGCTAACACATAGTGGAATCAGAAAGTAGATTGCTACACAGCTCATAGACAAGGGGACTTTTCAAACTGAGGAACACTCACAAGATTTCCAGGCTGCGTTGCTTCTAATTTCAAAATAAATAAAATCACCCAGTTATCACTTTTTTTTTTCTGGTTCATTACACCGTGACAGTAAGCTCCGACGTGACCTTTAATATTAAATAATTGCAATCCAATCTAAACGTTTTTGGCACAGAAAACCCCATCACACCTAACCCCATTGTGAGCAAATATGACAGAATAGCCTCATGCACATTTTTGTCACCACACTTGACACCCAACTGTCAATTAGGGATGCCAGCGATTATTCGTTAGTCTCCATAATCGAAAATTATTATTTAAAATTCGATTTTATTTATATATATTTTTATTATCATTTATCTTTTTTTTTCTGGCTTAGTTTCAACCAAAACATAGACTAATGCTAATAATAATTGTAAATGGCCATTGGTCACACCACCAGTTTGTTTGTCGCTACAAAAAAAAAAATGTCTCTCCCGGCGGCGACGGATAATCGATTAATATTCGCCAGGGCTGTCCGATTTTGATCACGGTCAGTTTCTGGCATCCCTACTGTCAATATCCTATTAAGTGATCCTTACTCTGCTATGGCCCTGCCCTCCAGGCCATCCACCACCTCCAGGGTTCTGTCTCCTTCGCTCCAGTTGACACCGTAGGTGAACTGCCTTCCGTCGGTGCTGTTGGTGGCCACAGAGGGCACCAGGCTGATGTGGGGTCTCATCATGCAGTAGAACATGGGCAGCAGGGAGGTGACGCCCTCCACACGCTGGCTCACAGAGATCTTCATGCCACGGACGTCAGTGCAGCAAGCGTCACCTATAAGATTTATGATTTTAAAAGTAAATATATTTTAGCAAATACACATGTTAAAAGGTCACCTATTATGCAAAATCCACTTTTTGAAGTCTCTTCTACATCAACAAGTGTCCCCTCTGTGTAAAGAGACTCTGAAAGTTTCAGGAAAAAGGATTCTCTCTTTTTGTCCTGATCCATTTATATGAAAACCTTTCTGAAAATGAGCTGATCAGATTTTGGCCACTTTATGATGTCATAATGATGTTTCGGCTTGAGTAACCATTAGCCAATCGCCAATCAGCAATCCCCCCCCCACCTGAATCTCCTCCTAGAGCACCATTAGTCGCTTTCACACCGCAGTACTTTTCCCACAAAGGTTCATCAGAACTTAGTTCATGAGAACTCTTTAGTTCTCATGAACTCTAGCAGGGACGTAAAAGAAAAGGTTCTGATGAACTCATTTTAGTTCCGGTTCTTTTTGGTGTAAACGCGACATTTCGGAACTATATCGGAACTAAAGTGGGAAGAGTACTGCGGTGTGAACGCGCCTATAGTGTTCTTTGTAACCAAATCTCTCTCAGAGGGGCGTGGGGAGGGGCTACTTATTTTCATCTAAAGTAACAGACAGAGAATCAGCACTTTGGAAACAGGGCTGAAACAGAGGGGATTATGGGTAATGCTGCAATGATCTGTTTGGTGTTTGGAGCCAAACACTTCAGAGACATGTTTTGTATATATCTGAGACCTGTAATATATTGATGAAAGACAGCATCATAGGGGACCTTTAAATCATACTTCACCCCCTTTCTACAACTTGAGAATGTTGTATTATTGAACTCAATCAATCCTTATTCTATCAAAGTGTTAAATAAGAAGACGGGTATTTTTTGGTGTCTGCATTTAAGATGATTGTGGGTTTAAAAAAAGGGTACTCAGGGGGCCAGAGGTGTGATTAGTGAAGATAGTTAGGAAATGAAATGTAAGGTTTCTAATTTTAACAGTAGAGTATAATGTGCTGCAGCAGTTAGTTTGTAAAGCTGTGTGTGTGTGTGTGTGTGTGTGTGTGTGTGTGTGTGATGTAATAGTGTCACCTATCAGTGATGATGAATTGAATCTATCATGTAGGTGTTTTTTGCATATTCATACATAGCCATTACAACTATACTGGAGTTTCCAGTTTTCAAAGAGGAGTGCCATGGAAGATATTAACAATATTGACTCTTTGTAAACTTGAGTAGTTTATTTGTACACCTGTTCCTGTTCTTGTTCAACCAGAGGATTTAAAAGATGGGGAATGTGTTTGCAGTCTGAATATAGACTGCATGAATTGTTACATACTGTAAGGGCCCATTATTAGATCTACGGTTTCCTTGAGAAAATGCAGGGCTCTATGTCACTGTGGAGAAGTATGTACTCTACGCTACTTTCAAATACTTTGTAAGGCATTACAAGTTCCATACTTCTTTTACAGTAAAAGCTTTTCACATTTAAATGTCGTTTAATGGGACGTTTTAAGGTTTTATGCAATAGGGTAGCTGTCTTTGCTGGTTGTTAGGAAACCACTAAAGGATCACTACTTGCCTATAAGGATGCTTTGCACATAGACGGGCTCAATGAAGTGGCTGAGCAGGGCTCCCTGGTATCCTAGCACCTGCCACTGAGTGAGCTTGTCTGTGGTGGACATGCTAACCACTTTGGAGTCAGAGTGATCAAAAGCTGACGAGAAAACAGAGAACACCTGAAAAAAAAAATGAAAAAAAGTTTTGTAGTCAACAGTTGCATTTCCGTTTATATTATAAGCCCATGACGCATTTAGCAATATACAACTTTACTTTTGTTGCATTTATCATTAAAGGAAGTCCTTGTGGATGGAAAAGTTAAAGTTGATCACCTTCCCCTCCACTGACAGGTGTAGGCTGATCTCGTTGTTGGCTTGCCACGCCGAAATAGAGAGTGGGTTCAGACGCCTGGGAACAGAGCACAGAGCTGAGGAAGAGCACTGGATAACATTTGATTCTATTGAAGCTTTTTATTTAGGCTGTTAAGACAAACTGAGTAATAAACACAGCCCGGTTGAGGTTGAGATTTAGGGCTGCTCGATTATGGCAAAAATCATAATCTCGATTATTTGGGTCAATAATTGATATCACTGTTATTAAAAACGATTATCCATTTACTTTGAAAACATCCATTAATTGAAAAAAATAAAAATAAAATGTGAACAGTATGTTTTAACAGTTGATTACCCTGAACTTTAAGTATAATTCAACTGAAAACCCCATACAAAAAAATAATCGTTTTTTTTCTCGATTATGTTGTTTTCATAATTGCGATTAAAATACAAATAATTGAGCAGCCCTAGGTTGAGTGGAAAACGACTTCCAATAATGTACCCCTTACTTGCAACCTTGATTCTATAACATCACTTAGTTTAAAGTACCTATTGAGAAACAGCAGTGAGCACCTCAAACAAACATAAAAGAACCAGAAGTGACCGAGACGACTTTTGCATCGCCTCACATTGCCTTCGTCTTAGACAAACAGTCTCAACATTGCCTTTCAGCAGGGTGATCAAACACTCAAAGTAGGTCGTTTGAACGATTAATCAATTTTAAATCGAAATTTGAAATGATGCAATTATCAAATCGCAAAGCTTGCGATTTTTTTTGTATTTCATTTTCATTATTTTTTAATTTGTTGTTCTTCTTGTGTGTCAGTCATCCACACCAATCAGAAGTGCTGTGCTCCACATGCCAGCCATTGTTAACCAATCAGAAGTGGCCCATGATAGAAGGTGATAGACAGATTGATCCAATCACCTGCCAAGTATTTTTGAAAGTACCTGCCCTTTCCAAATGGCTTCCAATGGAGCTTTCCTAGATGGTTTGGTGAAACCATCTGAGTCAGGTTAGTAATGCTCCATCACATGTTTCTATTACAGGGTGAATCTGAAACTGAAGCATGCCCAACGGAAGTTTAATGTAAGTTTAGTTCTTTCACTCGTAGCTCGGGCTGCGGGGGTGCTAGAGACGGGAGCACGTTGATACGACCTTCCTAGCCGGAGATATGGCCGCATTTTACAATAAACTTCCGTTGGGGTCGCTTAAAAACAAATATCGCAAATCGAATCACAATATCTGTCAGAAAAATCGAAATTAGATTATTTGCCCTAATCGTGCAGCCCTAACTCACAGTTTGGACGGGACCTGAGCGGCTCCCTTTGGCAGCTGGTTCACGTAGAGGTGGAGGCTGACGCCGCTGTTCAGGGTGAGGAGGCCGCTGCTGCTGCTCCGCTGGAAGATCGACTTCTCCTTCATACTGGCCGATTTGCCGAAGAACATCAGCAGGTGCCGGTAAAAAAACCTGGCAGCACAACATTAGATTAGAGCAACATCGGAGAAATGTGAAGTGAAAGTGTCAAGGGCTGAAGACCTTCATTGTTTAAAAGGAAAAGGGTTCACTGTGGGTTCGCACATAAATAATCCGTTAAAATAATCTGAACGTGAGCCATTTCCAAAACAGCAACATTCATACATTGTTAAAAAAAGGAATATTCCCAGAACTTCAATTTGAAACACAATGTACTCAACCAAAGCATTACACATAAACCAACATGTTTCCCTATCAACACATACCTGATGTGACACCAGTGCGTAATAATGACATGCTAAATGTTGGTAAGTAGATACATCAATCTCTACTGGCGTTCAAATGATTGCATATTTAGTACAATAATATAAGTGGTAATAAGTCGTGGGAAATATTATGCATCTTTAAACCTGTTGGAATTCTATTTTGTTATTTTAAAACTATAGATGACAATTTAAATAACACACAAACAATAATCAACATTAATATAATGTCTCTACTGACAGCACCACATCTTCAGATGACACCGTGTATGATATAGTATATGACACACTTACTAACCACACTGGAAAATTAGGTATTCAAGAAATGAGTGTTCTGCTGTGTGACACATTTTAGGGGGTTAACCTGAATTGTTTTGGTCATTCACGGGAGTTCAAATATAGTTTTGTTCAGCGGTTGATTAGATCAAGATATTGTATATAAAGTAAATAATCTCCTGTAATCAAATACTTGCATCATAGGAAATCCTTTCTTGCGAATGACACGACCCAAACCACANTCCCTCCCCTACCGGGGAAGCTCCATGGGACCTTATTTCGGAAAAATTATATTCAAACGGGATCGAAAGATAATCTTTCTCTCTCCATTGACTTCAATACATAATTTTTCCGAAATAAGGTCCCATGGAGCTTCCCCGGTAGGGGAGGGACTTCGCCACTCTATAACTTAGAACTATTCTTTATACATCCATGGGTACAACTTCAGATAAAAATGAACACATAATGAAATATGACCCCCAGTTTGATGATTGACAGGTCACAGAACAATGGGGATATCTACCCTTATCCACAATTTAAAGTAATTCACACCAACACACTCTCACTCCATAATCGTCCAGGAGCGACGTTTGGTCAATGTCCCGTGGCGTGCAGTTGTGACGCTCCTAGGCTCCTTCAGCTTCATAAAGGGACGCAAATAGCTTTAAACTGATTGCAATGTATTCCCATCTGCGGCGGGATTTGACGCTCATGGAAGCACGGCATTCGTTTGTGTCGGCTGCCGTTAAAGGCAATGTGAGCGTCCATTCCCATTGGATAACGGAGAATTGTACACCCGGAAGTAAGTATTCCCCTTACTGTCGGTTGATTTTACAGTGATATCTGCACTGCACTACTCATCGANCGCCCTTCTGGGGTTGGGTTTTCAGCATGTGTGCCTTTTTTATGTTTTACAGTTCAGCTTTGATTCCATCATCTCATTAAACCTTTTATAAAAGCATTCTTTAGTTCTGTGAAGGGATATATGCACTGTACTTCACTTTAATTAATAATGTATGCTGAAAAGCGTATATATTACAGCATGATTTGTTGTTAAATAGATTTGAGTGGTTCAAACATTTTGGGTCGCGATTTATTGACCA